ATAACAAGTGCCCTCCTTAATACCCATCACCCATCTAGCTCACCCCCCACAACCTTCCTCTATCAATCCTCAGTTTGTTCTGTATCTTTAAGAGTCTCTGATGGCATGTTTCCCTCTCTCCTTTTTTTTCTTTTTCCCCTTCCCATATGTTCATCTGTTTTCTTTCTTAAATTCCACATATGAGGGGCGCCTGGGTGGCTCAGTCATTAAGTGTCTGCCTTTGGCTCAGGTCATGATCCCAGGGTCCTGGGATCGAGCCCCACATCGGGCTCCCTGCTCGGCAGGAAGCCTGCTTTTCCCTCTCCCACCCCCCTTGCTTGTGTTTCTTCTCTCGCTGTGTCTCTGTCAAATACATAAAATCTTAAAAAAAAAAAAAAAAAAAAAATTCCACGACTGAGATCATATGGTATCTGTCTTTCTCTGACTGACTTATTTCACTTAGCATAATACACTCTAGTTCCATCCACATCATTGCAAATGGCAAGATTTCATTTTTTTGATGGCTGAGTAATATTCCATTATATATATCACATCTTCTTTATCCATTCATCTTGACTGGATTTTTGAATGGATCTTGAATGATTCTGTAATATCATGCATTGTTCACTTGAAAAATGATCTTTCAGATGTTAACATTTTATTATGTAATATAAAAAAAAATCACATTCATTACTATCACCACCAATTTCATCAGAAAACCCTTTACTTGGGAAGCTTTCACACTCAGGTAGCAGATACAAGTTTTCCAAAATTCTGATTTTTGCCTTGAGCTTAAATAGTTTTTCCAACTTAACTGAGATACAATTGACATACAGCACTGTTATGTAAGTTTAAGATGTACAGCATTATGACTTACATATACTGTGAAATAGCTACCACACTGAGTTTAGTTAACAGCCATCATTACATATAAATACAAAAGAAAAAAGTTTTTTCTCCCTTGTGATTAGAGTTCCTAGGATCTACTCTTTTAACAACTTTCAAATATACCACCAGCAATGTTAATTGTAGTCATCATATTGTACATTACATCCTCTAGTACTTGTTTATCTTACAACTGGAAGTTTGTACCTTTTGATCACCCTTATCCAATTCTTCCACTCCCCAACCCCCACCTCCGGTAACCTCAAATCTGATCTGTTTTCCATGAGGTTTTTATTTTGCCTAGATTGTACATGTAAGTAAGATCATACAATATTTGTCTTTCTCTTACTTATTTCATTTAGTAAAATGCCCTTAAGGTCCATCCATGTCACAAATGGCAGGATTTCCTTCTTTTTTACAGTTGAATATAATTGTATTGTGTATATACAACTTTTTTTAAGTTAAAAAAATTTTTTTTTAGTAATCTCGGCCCCACTCATGGGGCTCAAACTTACAACCCTGAGATCAAGAGTCGCATGCTCTTCCAACTCAGCCAGCCAGGCTCCCTATATACTACATTTTCTTATCCATTCATCTGTGGAGAGACACTTAAGTTGTTTCCATCTATTTATTTATTTACTTTCCACTTTCTCTCCCTTCTCCTTTTTATTTTTAAAATTTTTTTCACTTTATTTACTTTTTCATCACGATATGTTTACTCTTTAATCCCTCCTCTATTTCTCCCAACCCCCACCCACCGCCCCATCTGGGAACCATCAGTTTGTTTTCTATAGTTAAGAGTCTGTTTCGTGGTTTGCTTCTCTTTTTCTCCCTGCTCATGTGTTTTGTTTTTTAAATTCCACATATAAATGAGATCACATGGTATTTGTCTTTCTCTGACTTATTTAGCTTATTAGCATTATAATCTCCAGTTCCATCCATGTCATTGCAAATGGCAACATTTCATTCTTTTTTATGGCTGAATAATATTCCTATGTGTGTGTGTGTGTGTGTGTGTGTGTGTGTGTGTGTGTGTGTGTACACCACATCTTCTTTATCCATTCATCTGTTGATGGACACTTGGGCTGCTTCCATAGTTTGGCTATTATAAATAATGCTGCTATAAACATACAGGGGCATGTATCCCTTTGAATTAGTGTTTTTGTATTTTGGGGTAAATAACCACTAGTGCAATTACTGGATCATAGGATAGTTCTATTTTTAATTTTTTGAGGAACCTCCATACTGTTTTCCAGAGTGGCTGCACCAGTTTGCATTCCCACCAACAGCGTAAGAGGGTGTCTTTTTCTTCACATCCTCACCAACACTTGTTGTTTATCAGTTCTTTATATATTTTGGGTACTAACCCTTTATCGGAAATGTCGTTTGGAAATATCTTCTCCCATTCTGTAGGTTGCCTTTTAGTTTTGTTGTGCAGAAACGTTTTTTATTTTGATGTAGACCCAATAGTCTATTTTTGCTTTAATTTCCCTGACCTCAGGAGACATATCTAGAAAAATGTTGCTATAGCAACAATGTCAGAGAAATTACTGCCTGTGCTCTCTCTTCTAGGATTTCTATGGTTTCAGGTTTCACAGTTAGGTCAATCCATACATTGTTTCCATTTAAACTTTATTATTAGCAAAAAATACTGTCAATTGTTTTCCTTGAAGTGCCATGTTCATGTCATTCATTTATAAGAAAAATGTCTGCCCAATACTGAAATTAGAATAGTCATGGTTTGCCATTTTTTTTTAATTAAAAAAAATTTTTTTAAGCTTTTCTTTATTTATCTGAAAGAGACAGAGAGAGAGAGAACACAAGTAGGGGAAGTGGCAGATGGAGAAGCAGGCTCCCCACTGAGCAGGGAGTCTGACGTGGGGCTCCAGTCCAGGACCCTGGGATCATGACCTGAGCCCAAGGCAGACGCTTAACTGACTGAGCCACCCAGGTGCCCTGACAATCATTCTTTTAAGCAGAAATACTGTTTATGAAAAGAGCAATTAGTTCAGCTTGTAACTCCAACAACTGCACAAGTGCTTTTCCTCCAGATAACCACCATACTTCTCAGTATCTACCACTGGTGCTTTATGTATACTACCAATTTGTCATGTAGAATATTAAAAAGATGGGTACTCAACTGTACAGATTTAATAAAACTAACAATCTGTACTCGGTTTTTTTTTTTTTAAAAGATTTATTTTTATTGAGAGCGAGTGAGCATGCATGAGCATGAGTGGGTGGGGCAGAGGGAGAGGGAGAGGGACAGAGAATCTCAAGCAGACTCCATGCCAGGTGCCAGCCCATCAGCCTCACGATCCTGAGATCATGACCTGAGCCAAAACCAAGAGTCGGAGGCTCAACTGTGCCACCCAGGTGCCCCGGTACTGCTTTTTAAAGGACATTAAAAACAAACAAAAAAAACCCACAAAAAAACCTGGCATCTTAAAAAAATGCAAGTACATGGGCAGTGAAGAATACAATGACTACCTGTACAGTTGTGCGCCACTGCCTTGATTAGTGCTAAGACCAGCAGTGCTACCAACCACTGCAAGTGCCAACAGAGTGAAAGAGCAAATAACATCTTAGCATTATTATGAAAATAAAATTGAACTTGCAAACCTGAAAATCTCAAGGACAGCTGGGGGTCCATAGACCAAACCTTAAGAACCTCTCCTTTTGAATCACTGTATTGTGCACCTAAAACTAATTTCACATTCTTTGTTAACTATACTGGAATTAAAATAAAATAAAAAGAACCTCTCCTTTCAGATAAATCCCTAGAAGAAAACTTTTCCCCAATCACTACTGTTTTGTTTCTTGATGCAATCTGAGTCTTTGGTTAATGGGTATTTAATTCCTTTACACATACAATTATAAATGGTTTCATTCTATTTACATGATCTTAAGATGTTTAATGCTTCCTTTTATTTCCCTTTTTCTTTTTTAAATTGACAAAGCAATACTTCCACAAGATATAAAATTTAAACAGTTCAAAGGGGATTCTGTGGGGCACCTGGGTGACTCAGTCAGTTAAGCATCTGCCTTCAGCTCAGGTCATGATCCCAGGGTCCTGGGATCAAGTCCCATGTCAGGCTCCCTGCTCAGCTGGGAGTCTGCTTCTCCCTCTCTCTCTGTTCTTCCTCTCTACTCATTCTCTCTCTCTCTCAAATAAATAAATAAAATCTTTTAAAAAGGGGTGGGAAGGGGCACCTGGGTGGCTCAGTTGGTTAAGCAACTGCCTTCGGCTCAGGTCATGATCCTGGAGTCCCCGGATCGAGCCCCACACTGGGCTCCCTGCTCAGCGGGGAGTCTGCTTCTCCCTCTGACCCTCTCCCCTCTCATGCTCTCTATCTCATTCTCTCTCTCAAATAAATAAATAAAAATCTTTAAAAAAGGGTGGGACGGATTCTCTGAAAGGTTAAGTCTCTTTCCTATCCTAGATCCCAGCACTCCTCTCTCGAAGCAACCACTACGAACACATCTAGGAAACTTCATATATTGCCAAAATACCCTCTAGTGAGGTTGTACCAATTTATCTTCTAACCAGCGGTATGAAAATGCCTATTTGCTCATGTTTTCTTTATTTTTATTTTTATTTATTTTTTTAAAAAAGATTTATTTATTTACTTATTTGACAGAGAGAGAGAGACAGCGAGAGAGGGAACACAAGCAGGGCGAGTGGGAGAGGGAGAAGCAGGCTTCCTGCCGAGCAGGGAGCCCGATGCAGGGCTCAATCCCAGGACTCTGGGATCATGACCTCAGCTGAAGGCAGACACTTAGCGACTGAGCCACCCAGGTGCCCATGTTTTCTCAAAAGAGGTATTATTTTAAAAACTAATTCATCTTATTGTTTAATTTATATTTCTTTGAATTCTAATTACAATGAATAATTTTTCATTCTTAGTGGGCATTTTTTTTCTACTTTTGAACTGCCTCTTTATGATCTTTGCCCATTTTTCTGTTGGGGCATCTGTCTTTTTGTTAATAATTTGTAAGAGTTTTTATGATAAGGATAGTAATCCTTTGACTGCAAACTGGTGAAGTGCCTTGCCTAAGGCTGAAACTAGTGAAAAGACTTAGATTAACATCCAGAGCTTCAGACTCTTTCCTGGATGGGTGTGAGGATGACATACCTGGATTCAAATGGATCTTGCTTCTCCAGAGGTCTTACTCTTTTCTTTGTTACTGCCAATTTAGTCAAGTCCACATACTTTGTCTCTCCATTGCTGTAAGTGAACTCAAGAACACTATTCCATTCGCCTTGCACTCTGCATACCACAGTATTGGTGATGTTGTGCTTTACTTCACCCGTAACCCTAGAAGCAGGTAAGAAATAAAAATATGCTCTAATAAGCGAAATTAGGCTTGTTTCTTAGTATTCTGAAACCTAAAAACATACTTTCTGAATTCTGTTTAAATTGGTTATATAGCTCACTTAAATTTGTCAGTGCCAAAGTCAGAATCTGTAAATCCCACGACAGCTTACTAGATAATTTCTTCAAAAAACGTCAACTTTAATCTTTTAGAAAGAATATTCGGACTCAAACTAGAGACTAAGTTACCATAAATGATCACAAAGTGTGATCTTTAAATGCTTGCTCCAAACAAAACTATAATATTAAAACTAAATAGAAATATGAAAAATATTAACATTTCTTTTGTATTACAGTTTTAAAATGTTACAACATTACAATTTAACGTTTTTAAAAAAAACTAGTCCTATTTACTTAAAAGTTTGGAGTCCCTATATTTGAGGTTCTGGATATACCGATTCTGTATAAAATCACATAAGCCTAATCTTAAATTAAATACAGAAACCAGCTAAACCAGTAAGAGGTAGAAAAATTGAAAAAATAAATAAAAAAATTTAATATTCTCTTGCCAAAATAGAAAAATTAAAAGAGTACCGGTATACAAAAATAATAATCATCAACACAGAACTGCAAGAGAACTCAAACACTACTGTCGTTGAAAGTTTATTGAAGACTAAGTTATCTGACTAGTTTATCAACAGACAGACAGGATACAGCTCAAATGAAGATCGGAATAAACAGGTCTAATTCTTTTTTTTTAAGATTTTATTCATTTATTTGCGAGAGAGAGCACAAGAGGGGGGAGGGTCAGAGGGAGAAGCAGACCCCCTGCTGAGCAGGGAGCCCGATGTGGGGCTTGATCCCAGGACCCTGAGATCATGACCTGAGCCAAAGGCAGCCGCTTAACCAACTGAGCCACCCAGGCGCCCCCAGGTCTAATTATTTTTAATGAAGCATTTTGTGTTCACCATAGAACATAAATAACAACAGGGTCAGGTAAGATAGAGGTCCAGAACTTAGAGAATAGTGGGCAGGTGTTAGGGTCTAATCAGTGTGCCAGTGCTTGTGGTTTATCTGGATTCAAAAGGCAATCTGACCAAAGCCCAGTGGTTCGGGCTACAGGAAGCCTAAGCAGTATTTGTCAAGTATAAGCCAAGGGCCTAAGAACCAGAAAGACACAGTGAAATTTAGGGAGCCCCATCCATCGTTTTCAATCAGGAGAAGTTAATGAAAGGTCTGTAAACTCATAACTCAAGGCAGAGATACAGGGGCCAATAAGTAAATGATCTATGAACCAGATTTTGGAGATTGAGGTAAGAGGGATTTGGAATCCAAGAGCAAACCAAACATCCAAAACCAAAAGTTATGTGTAATGACAGCTCACTGGACACAAAGAATACCATGGCTACAAGTCTGCTTGACTACAGTACAGATGGGAACTCAGTCATACTTGGAAGACTAGGAACTTAAATAATTCCACTGCGAAGGTTTCTTGCCTATTTATGTTTCTAAATGCCACTACATAAGGATACCTGCAACAAATCCCTTTAAATTTTAATACCAGGAAAACAGTCTGTCTCTCTTGAAAAAGTGATAGGCTTCCTTTATTAGACAATGAGAAATATGTTGAGCATCATGTTTCTTTTTTTTACTTTAACCTGAGTTGGAGTTAAATTTTCTTTTCAGGTATAATAATTATCTAATCCCTGTTCCACTGCTATGATCACTATATAATAGACTGTTTTTTTAACGGTTATATATGACATTTTTCCTAAAAGCCTTACAAATGGTTTCCAAAGATAGGGTGCTGGATTCTAATACTACACTGAAGGCTTTTTGAAGGCAGAGGTAGTCTTTTTATACTGTACCTCTAGTATGCAGGAAAGTATGTCACTTGGCAGACAGTTCACATGATCTTAATATCATACCACTAGATAGATAGATAGATAGATAGAAAGAGTGCTATATCTATTTATCTATATTGATAATCCTCACCTCGCTTTAGGATGACTTTATAAAATCACCATCATCCTAAAGTGAGTGTGGAAAATGGGATCAGGAGATAGACATGGACCTGAGGAATAGTTAAGTAGGCTCACCTGGCTGCATGAGAGAGCGTTGTGGAAAATGAGGGAGTAAGGGAAGACAAGTGAAAGATAATATATTTATATCAAATGCAGACAGCAGATCATGTGTCTGCTCTGACTGCAGATAGCAGTAAAAAACTAGGCTGTCTGAGGAGGGAGGCATGGCCATTGATAAAGGCATGAAGGAAAGCCTTCATTATAATATTCTGTAAAACCAAAAAAAAGATATCAAAAATGGAAAAGTCTGTTTCTAATAGGAATCTTTTAAATGAGAAATTAGATGAAACCACTGGTCTTGGGAGAGATCAATATGGAAAAAAATGTGGAAACTTTAGAGTCAGCTAACAGTATCTGTCAACAGTTATGGAAAGAGTGTATATGTGGATGCAAAGGAAAGAGAGAGACTATGTTAGAGAACAGATAAGTACTTCCAAGTGACAGAAAAATCAAATGAGTGTGTCCTTGTGGATAGGTAAAGGGTATGAAGGGGAAAAAGAAGCCAATTTAGGTAAGAAATTGAAATAAACAAGAGAGCAAATACGATGACTGATCATTAACAAAAATGAGGATGTCTATTGAAAATTATTAGGGGTCTTCAAAAAGTCAGAATATGAAAACCAGTATCAACCAATAAGGCTTTCACAATACTGGTAGATGCTTCCTCTAGGAACCTAGCTGCCAAGGTGGAAGAAGCTGCAGTCATGCAGGAAGGCCACATGTGGGCCCTCTGAATGACAGTCCCAGCTGGGCTCTTGGTCCACAGCCAGATCTTTTGCCTTCTCCCACATGAGTGAGCTAACCCTGGATATCTAGTTGGGTCAGGCCCTTAGATGGCTGAAGCCTCAACCAACATGAAGGACATCATGTGAGAATCACCCAACTGAGCCTAGTCAGTCCACAAAACTGTGAAAGATAATGAATTGCTGTTTCAAACACTTATGTTTTAGAGTTTATTACTGGCAGTAAATAATTATCCAAAGCTATCTTAGATGCCCTCTGACTCCTCCTCTACATCCTTGAAGGGTCAACTCTGAAGGTCTAAGCAGTCTCCCTTCTTCTAATCTCTCTTCATTCCCTTTGCCCCCCAGTCCATTCTTCACCTGCCACTAGACAGGTCTTTTTAGAAATAAATACTTAAAATATATCATTTCCAGACACAAAATTGCTTAAGGTATTCTTGTCAAAAATGCATAACCTGAACCTAAAAAGAAAAAAAGACAAAACCAAACTGAGAAGCATTCTATAAAATGGACCTGTCATTGTCATAAGAGACAAAGAAAGGCAACGGAAATATTCCAGAAGACTAAAGAGACATAACAATGACATGAATGCATGATCCTGGGTAGGAGAAAAAATACTGCCGATTATTGCGAAAATTGACAAAATTTAATATAGACTGTACATTAGATAATAGTATTAATTTAACATAATGTTAAATTTCTTGAATCTGATAACCATTCTGTGATTGTATAAGACAATTTCCTTGTTCTTAGGAAATTCAGACTAAAATATTTTATTTTTTAAAAAAGATTTATTTATTTGGGGGGGAGGGAGGGAATGCACCTGCGTGCAAGTGGGGGGAGGGACAGGGGAGAGGGAGAGAGAATCCTCAAGCTGACTCACTGCTGAGCAAGGAGCCTGACACAGGGCTCAAGCCCAGGACCCTGAAATCATGAGTCAGCTGCTTAACTGACTGAGCCACTCAGGCGTGCCCCCAGACTAAAATATTTTAAAGTGTCAGGAGGTCTTTAACTCTCAACTATTTCAGGAATAATAACAGTGATAATAATATGTGTATATATATAGAGAAAAAGAGGTTTTGATAAAGCTAATGAAGCGAAATGCCAGCAACTAGGCAAAGGGTATATGAGAGTTTGTACAACTCTTCTGTAGGTTTGAAATGACTTCAAAATAAAAGATAAAAGTAATAACATATATCACTTCCATGCTTAAAATTTTAACTGGCTCCCCAATGCCTTCAGAATAAAGATCAGATTTGTCAGAATAGTATATTGTATTCTTCTATCACAGTTAAGAGATATAGTCAAATGTCAAGGACTGAACAGGAACACAGATAAACATAAAGTTAAAAAAAAAAAAGGTATCGTGACTTGGGTTGGAGTTTCAGTTTAGCTCCAACTAAACAGCCCAACACAACTTTCTGTACCTGTTGGTGTTTACAGGCATCGGTGCCCCCCGAGAGGCTGACCCCCACTGCCCCAGCAGCTGGCACCCATGTTGTTAATATCCACTGATTTATGCCCGTGTCTCTCCCCAAATACCTTTAGCTGGGGATGGAAGATGAGGAGAGGGGAGGGGACCTGCCCCCTCCTCAGGCATCTGGGAGGGCCCTGCCCCCATGGGCTTCACCCTTTCCTGCAGGCTCTCTCCCCGACACATTTGTTAAAATCAAACCTGAATAAAACTGCAAGTTTAATAAGAAAAAAAAAGCCACTGATTTACTCTTGCCTGTGGCTCTAGTATTTTCATCTCACTATCAACTATTTGGCACTGAGCAGAACATCCCAATACCAAAACTACCTTCTTAGTTCTTCACGTCATTAAGAATGACTGTCAAAGAAATGAAGATGTTAAACTCCAAGAAGAGAAAAATGAAGAGAGCCTGCAACAGCTGTTTTCAAACCTCTGCAGGGCTCTCCTAGGGGAGGAAATGGGATAGCAACTGAGTGAAGCTCTAAAAAAAATCAGATCTAAGAGTTCATACCTAAGAGATTAGCCAGTAATATATTAAAGGAGTAATATATTAAAGGAACAGGTACAATTTGGTAGGGTGGACTAGATTCTATCCCCAAGAAGAGAGAAACTCACACCTAATCTTTCCAAAGAAAAATATGCAAAAATTTACAAATCACTTATGTACATAGCACTGTATAGATGGAACAGAAGGCCCAAAACAGTACAGTTCTATCAAAAAGCTTACAGCCATGTTGGGGGAAATAAGACAAATCAATCAAGAGAGTTTGTGTATAAATAATGTTTTTTTATTTTTTTTAAAGATTTTTATTTATTTATTGAGAGAGAGAGAGAATGGTAGAGAGAGAGAGCATGAGAGGGAAGAAGGTCAGAGGGAGAAGCAGACTCCCTGCTGAGCAGGGAGCCCGATGCGGGACTTGATCCCGGGACTCCAGGATCGTGACCTGAGCCAAAGACAGTTGCTTAACCAACTGAGCCACCCAGGCACCCTAAATAATGTTTTTTTAAAAACAAATGTTTTTACAGGTAATATGAGTCCTGTAGGATTTCAAATAACACACACATATGCATAAACACATACTCTCAGAATGAAGTTTCAGGAACCAGAAATAGTTTGCAAAAAGACAACTAAAATCACTCCATGTTTCCTTACCCAGAAAATAATACTTATGAGAAAAAAATAGGGCGCCTGGGTGGCTCAGTTGGTTAAGCGACTGCCTTCGGCTCAGGTCATGATCCTGGAGTCCCGGGATTGAGTCCCGCATCAGGCTTCCTGCTCAGCAGGAAGTCTGCTTCTCCCTCTGACCCTCTTCCCTCTCGTGCTTTCTATCTCTCATTCTCTCTCTCTCTCAAATAAATAAAATCTTTAAAAAAAAGAAAAAAAAGAAAAAAAAAGAAAAAATAAACAACAGGCCACTAAGAATTACCTTAGTGTCACTGACAATAAGATGGTGCTGGCTTTGGAAGATTTATCCCTATAGCTGTTTTCCCTAAGTATTCTACTCAAGAATGTTACAGGGGTACAGATTTCAGCTCTAACTTTATATAAATATATAAATAAGAGGAGTCTGAATGGACTGCTTGCCCCTCAAACACTGAGTTTTGTGCGAATAATGAATGTTTGAACACAGACTGAACAGATCAGTTATCAGGCAGGTTGCAAAGGGATATATGCCCCTAGCAAATGTTGATCTAGTGACATCTAAAGCCCCTGCTGGTTTTAAGGTTTGAATCCTGTGATTACTATAATGAGGTATAAGTAGAGACACATAAAGCAAAGTGTTAACCATAACAATACCTTCTCTAAGGGTAAAAGGTGACTATTCTGACAATGTCTAGTGGTTCTGCTTGGGTAATATGTGTGTGTTTTGAAGTCTGTATTTTTAAAGGCCCATTCAATGTCTCAGAATCAATCAATCTTTCTTTCCACTTCTAAAACAGTTAAGTACCAGCTGTCTAAGAATGAAAAAAGTAAAATAGCTATATGCAGTTGAAGGTCTCATACATGGCTGCAGGGAATGTTACTTTGGTAATGACCACTTAAAACTGTGTCAGCACTTACTCAAGTTCAACTTCCATCTCCTATGAGCCAGTAATTCCACTTTTAGGTATCTATCCAACAGAAATTCATACATACATTCACCAAATAATGTTCTAGCAGCACTACTTGTAATGGCCTCAAACTGGAAACTACCCAAATGCCTAACATGAGAATAAACAAGTGAACTGTGACATAGACATAGTCATACAATGTAATACAGTCTTCAGTAAGGAGAATGAACCATGCTACACATGGATGAATCTCAAAAACATAATATTGAGCAAAAGTCAAATGTGAAAGAATACAGTGTATGATTTCATTGTAGTATATAGTTCAAAAACAGGCAAAGCTAATCAATGGTGTTAGAAATCAGGATAGTGGCTACCCTAAGAGGAAAGGGTATAAATGGTTAACGTGGTGTGTGCGTGTGTGTGTGTGTGTGTGTGTGTGTGTGTGTGTGTGTGTGTGTAACTATAACAGGGCATGAACAGGGTCTCCGGGATGCTGGTAATGTTCCATGTCCGGATCAAAGTGCTCATATTTTTACTTTGTAAAAATCATCAACAAGAGATGTATTTTTCAAAAGAGTTATAGACAGAGAAAACTATCCCTACTTTAGGGACAGTCAGAATAGACATGAAGGGCTTAAGGAAAAGAGTCAGTATCCTTTTGAAGATTCTATTAGACAACTTCTCTTCATGGAGTTCGCACGATCTGGACCAGCGCTGAAGAGACTGAGAGAAGCTGAGAAGGGGGTATAAGAACTGGCCATTTCCTAGATGGGATCAGAACAAAGCCCCTATTCACAGTATTAGTACCTAAAAACACTGGTTTCCATCACTGTGCTACTTGAACTATTTTATATGATTAGATATATTTTCATGCCAACTTGTACCAACCTGGCTTCACTGAGGCCCGGATCTAGTCTGAACCCCTTTAAAGGCAGAAATTGGGCCAGAGACTGAATGTTCATTTGTTAGGAATTCTACTCTACACCTTGTTAGCTTAACCAGGAAAATTTTATAAGAGTAGACAGATCTGTCACTATTTTAAAAACTAGATCAGGATGGGGGTGCCTGGGTGGCTCAGTCAGTTAATCATCCGACTCCTGGATTTGGCTCAGGTCAGGATCTCAGGGTCATGGGATTGAGCCCGGCGTTGGGCTCTGTGTTCAGCGCGGTATCTGCTTCTCTCTCTCCCTCTGCTCGTCCCCCCCACTCGCACTCTCACTCTCTATCTCTAAAATAAATAAATAAAATCTTAAACAAAGAAACTAGATCAGGATGCCCAGAATGTCTCGAAAAAATAGACATAAATAAAAGGCCAACTCCATCCACATAAAACAAAGCAGGAAAAGAATAAGGAGTTATAATACAAGATCAAACTGGTAGAATATGAGCCGGATATCATTAAAATGTTCTTACCGGTGTAGTCTGCCACCATAAAATGGCTTAGTATGAAAAGTGATGCTGGCTGAATACCCAGTTTTTGCACAGTTGACACTGACTTTACCACCCAGTTCTACCCAGGGAACAGTTAAAATTGACCGGGCATATGCACAAGGTAGAGAAAATGTATACTCTTCTCCATGCTCCAATAGACTGAGGATACCTGAATATGAAAACATGAGGGTGGTTAACATCTTAAAAAAAAAAAAAAAAAGTTATAAAACATCCATATTATTTTTTCTTAAGTCTAGTAAATAAACATTATTTTGCTTAATTTTCATTTAACTTTGGATTAAAGTAACTTCACTCACAATTGTATTTGATAACATTCCTGGTAGTAGTGAATCTAGGTTACTTTCATTATGACTTTGCTATCCCTTTGGGGTTCATGGGAATGTTAGAGTGGAAACAGATCCAAATTTCCCTCTAACAGACTCTTAAAACCTTAAGTCAGATTTTAAGAACACGTTATATTGAATCATGTTATGGTCTGATCATAGTACTAATAACTTTCTCAGTTTGGGAACAAATAAATGTCTGATGCTATAGAGTCACGGAACCTACTCTCAGTTCAATGGGGAAAAAAAGCATTCTTCATTCTATGTATATTAGGAAGAAAAAAACTAATTCTATTATGAAAACTATGGTCATGGTAACAACTTTGTTTGCCAAACTCTGAAGTATTTGGTGTGAGGCTACAAGAGATAGAAGTGAGTTTTCAAACAAATATTATTCTAATGGGACTTGTTTTATATTAAGTGATGCAATATTAAAGATGGTTTTTTAAAAGAAAAAATACAGGAAGAGAAACTACATTAATGAATAATCAATTTATACTAGATAACAAAGAGACACTAAGGATATTTGAGTTACATTACTAACCCAAGCTCATTACCTGGGTCACTATCAGACTAAATACTGAACTGAAAAAGTACTACTACTCTGAACTCTAATGGTATCTTTCTCTTAATGAATGCTCATTAAGTACTCTGTTCTCAATGTTCACAAATAAGGGCAAGAGTCATAATAAATATTTTAATAAATTTTTAGGATAAGCAAATAGACAAACAGATTCTAAAGCAGTCTACTTTATATAAAGTAACACCAATTATTTTCTTATATTACCTTTACAGTCTTCACAAAGGGCAACAATAAATCAAGAATTATCAAGCCATTTCATAAGGAACCTGGCTCTGGCTGTAAAACATTTATATATAATGGGAGCTGTCAGAAGGCATATAAACAACATACTTGGGTATATTTTAAGGGTTTAATAGTAACTGCTGATTCATTTTAAGTCAGAAAAGATGTTTTGATGACTTTTCTAAGAATACATCACCTTATAACCTGGGTTTCTGATCTCTGATTTCTAAGACTATATTTACCATAAGTATCACACACAACATAATTTAAAATCAGTTGTGAATGTACATGATAATAGACTAATTAGGACAACAGATTCAAAGAATTCTAAAACCTCACTTACTTCATCATTACATGGAATTTCCCCCAACAATAAAAACAAAACATGCTCCTATTAGAACAAAATGAATTGTCATAAGTCCCATTCTCTGATTTTATTTACTTTTAATGAGGTTACTATAGAAATTTTATTTCTAAAAGGCAATCCATAAATATATAATTAGCACAGAAATACTAAAAATTACCTATTTTATACCGCCTTCATGATCAATGCAAAGTTAAGATATTAATGCTTTTCCTTATTTCCTGAAGCATTTCCTTTCTTGAAGAGGCTTACCATCACCACATACTCAGTAGGAGCTAACCTACTGAGGACTCCTCCAACAAAAGTCCTCAGGGAGAGTATGTTAAAGGAGGATGTTCTAAATCTGGCTATGTCTTAGCTTTTGTAAACTTGAACATGTCTCATTACCTCTAGACTTGTTTTTTTTCATCTATAAAATAAACTGATTTATGAAGATCTAAGAGCTAATGTTATGAAGCTTATAAATGAAGATGGCAAATTTTTTAACTAATAAAACATGAGTACTTTCTAATATTATAAAAGCTTTGATTAACTTAATACATTATTTGGAAATTGGTTAAGACTCATATCACAGCAGATCTTAACAATGGGGAAAACTGAAAGGCGGGATAAAGTATTTTCTTCACAGCTACTGTAACACAGTCTCAAAATGTTAGTATCACAGGCTTAATTATACCATGCTAACACTGTAATTTTACATTCTGAACAAATTCTTCCATGCACAAGGGTTTTCCTTTAACATAAAAATGGGAGGGCTTTTTCTGCCATTATATTTTCATTAATTCTTCAATGATTTCTGTGGAAGCTTTCTGTTGTTTACTTTTTGGGTATTACCTTATTTTTTCATAACCTTTTGCTGAAGTGAAATTAAAGACTGGCAATGTAGTTTAAAATATTACCTCCTCAGAAGACAGAAAAGATCAAGCTAGAAGATATTTCTAGGTAATATATTTCTTGAGTGCTTTTTATAATAATGAAAATATGGAAACAACTTCAATGTCCAAATAGAGGAAATGGTTAAATAAAAGATGGTAAATATCTTATTTCATAGGGTATTATACAGTCATCAAAACATGTTTTAAAGTGTTATCAGTGACATGGGAAAATGAATATTTATTGCAAAAAAGCAGAACACAAAACTATATATAGAGAACTAATCCCAACTTTACAAAACAAAAATAAAAGTATGAACATATACACAATAGAAAAAATACAAAATGCTAGCCAAACTTATCCTTCTCTGGATGGAGGTATTAGAAATGGTTTATTTTCCCCTTGATACTTTTCTAAGTTTTCCAAATACTCTATAATAAAAAATTTTATATTTAAAATAAGGAAAAAAATTTAAGAAGATACTTTATATTTGTCCATAAATATGAGCCTCCTTCCACACCATTCTGGAACACACTTAAAAAGTGGAACAAAAAAGTGGCATGTAACATTTCAAATTTATAATATTTATCTAGCTTCCCCAAATTTAAGATTATAGTTTGATATTAAAAATTGGAGAACAGTTTTTCTCCTTACCTTCTCCAACCATTGTCACGCCTATGGACATGCCTAAGAATTTGCTCTTAGTCCAGACATGCGCATTTACACACATCTTCCTCTCCGCACATTCTGCATAAAATCCTGAGACTGGAGGATGATGGGAAACCTGCTCAGCAACAAATCTGACTGTATAACAGTCTGATTCCACCTGGCTCAAAGTCTCCTCCGACAGAGGAGCATGATTTGTGACTGCCTGGGTGGAAGAGCTGCTGCTAACACTGGATGCCACCTCCCTTTTTGGCATCCTCCAGGAACAGTGAAATGTTTCTCCAATGATAGGATTGTACGGTTTCTTAGCAATGGCTCCTTTACGGCCTTCATGAAATGAGGTAAGGTAGTACTCAACAAAACGAATCATTCTATCCTCAGCTGTGGCTCCGTTAGTGATGGCTACAAATAGGTCTGGATGAGACATAAAGTCTGCATACATTTCGAGCAAGGAACGCTTCTCTAGGATAAACGTAGGAAGCACCACCTAAAACAACAACAACAAAAGTCAACCAAAGAGGAAAATTTTAATCCACGTGTATATCTGTAGAAAACTATTCTTACCTTTCCGAACACATTTCATTCTAGGTGAGTATTAAAAACAAAGTCACAAAAGTATTTGGTCTCATTAAAAAATAAGCATGCTTAAAAGGAAATTAAAATCAAGTGGTTAAGATTAAATACCAATGCAGAACTTCAAGAGGGTCAGGTAGAAGACATTTGTAAAAAATTCCTCTAACTCCTAGACTGGATAAAAAAAGTATCATCAGGGAAATGACAGTAAAACTCAAAACGCTAGCCATGCTTTTTTTCCTTTCCTTTTTTAAAAATAAATTATGGATGACTGAGCAAGAGATGAGATAAGAGAAATTTTCTTTTTTAAAAATATTTTATTTATTTATTTGACAGAGAGACAAACAGTGAGAGAGGGAACACAAGCAGGGGGAGCGGGAGAGGGAGAAGCAGGCTTTCTGATGAGCAGGGAGCCCGATGCGGGGCTCGATCCCAGGACCCTGGGATCATGATCTGAGCCAAAGGCAGACGCTTAACAACTAAGCCACCCAGGTGCCCCAAGAAGAGAAATTTTCATTCCCTGAAAATAGACAGACTAAAGAGATCACTGATCAAAGCAAATATTTTAACTTACACTTAATTTTAAGGATAAGAGAACTGTTTTTAAGAAGGGAACTTTTTATTTTATTTTAGTAAAGATTTTACTTATTTATTTGAGATGAGAGAGTGTGTGTGAGAGAGAGCGAGCGAGCACAAGCCCGGGAGAAGAGGCAGAGGGAGAAGCAGACTCCCTGCTGAACAGGGAGCACGATGCAGGGCTCGATCCCAGGATCCTGGGATCATGACCTGAGACAAAGGCAGATGCTTAACTGAGTCACCCAGGCACCCCAAGAAGGGAACTTTTTAAAGTAGGCTCCACACCCAGTGAGGGCCTTGAACTCACAACCCTGAGATCAAGAGTCCCATGCTCTACTAACTGAGCCACCCAGGCGCCCCTCAAGAATGGAATTTTTGCCTTTCATGAAGATGGTGCCAAAGGTGAAGAAGGAATTCCCTCCCCCTCTCACCCCCACCCCAAAGCAGGAGCCAAAGCAAAGGCTTGGAAGGCCAAGAAAGTGGTGCCGAAAGGTGCCAACAGTCAAATGCACAAAAAAAGAAAATCCACGTCTCCTACCTTCCAATGCATCAAGACATTGCATCTCTGAAGGCAGTCCAAATATCCTTGAAAGAGTGCCCCCAGGAGAAAGAGTCTTGAGCACTATGCCATCATCAAGTTTCCCCTTACTACTGAGTTAGCCATGTGTAAAATAGAAGACAACAACACACTTGGGTTCACTGTGGATGTCGAGGCCAGCAAGCACCAAATCACACAGGCTATGAGGAAGCTCTATGACATTGAGGTGACCAAGCTCAACACCCTGATCAGGCCTGATGGAGACAAGAAGGCGTATGTTTGACTGCCTCCTGACTATGATGCTTTGGATGTTGCCGACAAAACAGAAGTCCAGGGGCACCTGGGTGGTTCAGTCGTTAAGCGTCTGCCTTCGGCTCAGGTCATAGTCCCAGGGTCCTGGGATCGAGCCCCGCACTGGGCTCCCTGCTCTGCGGGAAGCCTGCTTCTCTCTCTCCCACTCCCCCTGCTTGTGTTCCTGCTCTTGCTGTGTCTCTCTCTGTCAAATAAATAAAATCGTTTAAAAAAATATATAAACAGAAGTCCAGGTGGCTTAATCTAATTTTTAAAAAAATTTTTTTTAAAGATTTTATTTTATTATTTATTAGACAGAGAGAAACACAGAGAGAGAGGGAACACAAGCAGGAGGAGTGGAAGAGGGAGAAGCAGGCTTCCTGCCAAGCAGGGAGCCCAATGCGGGGGACCTGGGATCATGACCTGAGCCAAAGGCAGACGCTTAATGACTGAGCCACCCAGGCGCCCCTAAATCTAAATTTTTTCACTGAAAACAAAGCAAAACAAAAGAAGGGTACTTTTGACACCTAAAGCCAGGTAAGTTCAAGGAAGATTAGTTTTATTTTTTCAAAAAAGATTTTGTTTATTTTGAGAGACAGAGAGAGAGCACGCGTGTGAGCAGGGGGAAGGGCAAAGGAGAGGGGGAGAGAGAGAGAGGCCACAAGCAGACTCTGAGCTGAGCTCAGGGCCCAATCCCACAACCCTGAGATCATGACCCGAACCGAAGTCAAGAGTCCGACACTTTTTTTTTTTTTTAACATTTTATTTATTTGACAGAGAGGGAGAGAGAGATCAGAAGTAGGCAGGCAGGCAGGCAGAGGCAGAGGGAGAAGCAGGCTCCCCGCCAAGCAGGGACCCCGACGCGGGGCTTGATCCCAGGACCCCGGGATCATGACCTGAGCCGAAGGCAGACGCCCAACTGACTGAGCCACCCAGGCGCCCCAAGAGTCTGACCCTTAACTGACTGAGTTACCCAGGGGCCCTGTGGATTAGTCTTCTTTAGAGCAGAATTGGAGAGGCACTGCAATCTGGTTCAACAAATTGAGAAAGCAATCCTGTAATATTTTTCAAAAGCCCAAAGATATTCATATCTATTGAGCCTAGTAATTATTCTTCTAGAATTCTTAGGAAACAATATGAATAAAGAAAAATAAATGTGAAAATAAAATTAAAATCTATGCTTTTAACTGTGGTTCTAGCAAACTTAAATATGGAAATTCCACCTGATAAACTTTATATCATTTAAAAAAATGGTTATGGGGCGCCTGGGTGGCTCAGTCGTTAAGCGTCTGCCTTTGGCTGAGGTCATGATCCCAGGGTCCTGGAATCGAGGCCTGCGTCCGGCTCCCTGCTCAGTGGGGACCTGCTTCTCCCTTTGCCTGCTGCTCCCACTGCTTGTGTGCTCTCTCTCTCTCTCTCCCTGATAAATAAAATCTTTAAAAAAAAAAAAGATGGTTATGGGGGAAAAAAGATGGTTATGAAGATGATACAACTAATACAAAAGATACCAATGTTTCAGGTTCATTTCATGGTGAAATGAACACATACATCTTAATTTCACCTTCTACTGAAATCCATTAAAATTATATTGAATGTATTTTATTTATGGGGCGCCTGGGTGGATCAGTCATTAAGTGTCTGCCTTCAGCTCAGGTCATGATCCCAGGGTCCTGGGATCGAGCCCCGCATTGGGCTCCCTGCTCAGCGAGAGGCCTGCTTCTCCCTCTCCCACTCCCTCTGCTTGTGTTCCCTCTCTTGCTCTCTGTCAAATAATAAATAAAATCTTAAAATAAATATATTTTATACAGACAAATCTAAAGATACCAGGAAAGTAGACAAAAACAACAAAAATTTTTTTTAAGGTGTGCACGCGAGCTGGGGGGAGCAGGGGTGGAGAGAGAATCTTAAGCAGGCTCCATACACAGTGCGGAGCCCAATGTGGGGCTCAATCTCATGACCCTGAGATCATTACCTGAGCCCAAATCAAGAGTCAGATGCCTAACCAACTGAGGCACCCAGGTGCCCCCAAAAGCAACATTTTGGGAATTAACTAGAAAGCTGACTCTTATGCAGTGGTTCATAGATTCCAGAGAGGGCTCAGGAACTGACAGCATCAGGTACCTCTGGATCTGGGAGTTGATAGGAATTTTAACATTCCTATAATGATGACTGAGTGAAATCTGCATGCAGAGCAACTGAATCCTTAAATCCCCTCCCCAACTCCACACTGCTGGTAAGTGCCCCTCTTGCATCCCAGCCAAGGTCTGGAGGTTTAGTCTCCAAAGAGTGAAACAAGGTGGCTTATTCTCTAGTTTGGGGAACATCAGGGGCTTCCAAGAGAATGGATACCATATGGATAAAAGGGGTATGAAGTAACCCTATATGAAATAAATATTAGATGCTAAGATCCTCTCCCACCCAACTCTCTTCTCCTCCACCACTCCTAGTTGCTCTGCCTACCAAGCAGGAGATAAGAAGAATTCCTTCTGGGGTATTTCACTAACCCAAGAGAGAAAATCTAATGATACTAACACTAGATTTCCCAACAAATCCAGAATGGACATCAGTCTTTTCACCAGAGCACCATAACAAGGAGGCAATATTCAAAGGAAAAATTAACTGCAAGTTAGAAATTCTATCCAAACTAGAAATCAAATATGAGGGCAAAATAAAGACACTTCACACATTTTGTCTCCCACAGATCTTTCTCAGAGCTTAAAAGAAGATGTGCTCCACTGAAATGAGAGGCAACCAGAAAAGAAGAAAAAAAAACAGGAGACAGATCTAGCACAGAAGGACAATGAAAGGACATCCCAGGAAGAGAGCTGCACAGCAGACACAGGGAAATCGGTCCAGATCAGAGTGATATGATTCAAGAGACAGACACAGGAAGACTGTCATCCATGCGCTCCATGCTTCCACAGTTACCCTCTTTTGAAACCTGAGGACAGAATGCTCTAGGGAAACTGTTCCCATCTGCATCTGTATTTGGCTGGTGGTGGGCATCTGCTTGAAGTGCCAACTCTCCTTCCCATGCCCTGCTGTCCGGGCTGGCTGAAGACATTCATTTCACCCAAAGACACATTCTGGCTTCAATCTACTGCTGAGAGTTGGGAGGTGGGTCACAGTTTGCTTAGTGGTGAAAAACACTGAGCAGATTCTTCCCTCTGTCCACATTCCTGCTGAATGGCCAGTATCTGGCTCACACCAAATGCTCTAACTTTGTGAGCCATATATTTGGCAAGACTCACTCAGAATTTTGCCTTCTCATTTCTTCAGAAAGGGATCTTCTAAACTTTCTCAATAATTTATAAGATGCTGAAGCCAGGGACTCTGTTTAGCTTATCTTCTCCTAGGAGGCTTCTTCTATGAATGGCAACAGGGCCCTTTCCTTATACAGCTAAACCTGTGCTGGCTGTTCACTTTTTCCTAAATTAAATAACATTGTTATGGGGTACATATGCAGGTGGTAAAACCTTTAAAAAAAAGTAGGGAGATGATAAACATGGAAGTCAAGTAAGTGGTTACATCTAGCAGACAGCAGGGGACTACAACCAGGAGGGGCCCTCAGAGAGCAGCCTTTTGGCAATGTTCCACGACCTGATACCTGGGTGCACATTTTACCATTGTTCTTCAAACTGTTTATGCACACAGAAGACTGTGTGTAATACATTTCACAAAGAAAGAGTATTAACTGAAAAAAGGAAATGTAACAAAATTGGGAAATAAATAAACTACATTATATGAAGAAAGACTGAGAGGAATTCTCAAAACTTAGTGTTGTGTTGTTAGGGTAATGAAATCATAGGAGATTTTTTCCTTTATTTTCCCTAACTTTCTGTGAGCTGTATAATTATACTGAATCCATAATATTATTTAAAAAGAAACAAAATGAACAGTTATTACTTATTCACAACATGCAGGCTGGGACCATGGTTACCTTTCTTGCTGCTGTAGTTCCAGCACCTAGCAGAGTGTCTGGAATATAAGAGGGGCTCAAAAAATATTTGTTCTAACAGTGTTTTGTTAAAAAAGAAGGTAGATGTGACTGCAGTTTAGTCACATCTACATGCAGATTTTTAAATGTTGCTCAAAAAGTATCATTCTTTTTAACGTTACATGAATGTTCATAATTCATGGTTGGTTATGTATGTATTTATATCTTTAATTAACAAGGAACAAATGTGGGGAAGCTATATTATATATAGTTATCACGCCTAGAGAAAGCTTTACCATCTGGATTACTATCACAGCACATTCTTTTCAAATGTTCTTATGCCTCATAAACCCCTATACTGTTTTTATGCCTTACAAACCTAAATCTACTAAGGGACAGCAAACACCAGAATAACCAAACAAACCTTTCATATCATTATTCATCTTAACTGATTTACAGCTAATAATCTTTTCTGAACCACTAATATGAAAATATTTATAGAACAGAAATGACACCCAGTTGAAATATTAAGGTTAAAGAGGAAAGGTTAATGGGTTTCTTTAGTAATTCCTAAAATGTCTATTTCTTAGTAGGCTTTTAATTCAATCCATCTTCTTTTAAACTCCCCTATAATCACTGTAAGTCTAAGTAAAGAAAGAAATGTGTTTTGATTTTGAGATGCTTCAAAGTAAACACTAAAGGCAAAATGCTTTCTACTTAAGTTACATTTTCCTTAAGTCACTTTTAATCTATGCTTTCACTACCTTCACTGACATCAAAATCCTTAATTTGAAATATACGTCCTGATGTCAGTTCTGAAATTCCATACTAATGCAAAGTAGTGTCAGTAGTAATTCTAAGTACATAATCCCACAGTAGTAATATCTGACATACATAGGTTTTGAACCAAATTTCCTTTTCAAATTAACATCACAGATTGATTGCTAAAATAAATGAAGACAGGGTAATTAGATAAACTGGAAATGCTAAAGACTGGCCTAAAATTAAAAATTATAGATTAGTATTTCTCAAACTTTAATGTATGTATGAATACATGGGGATCTTATTAAAATATAGATCTGGTCCTCTAAGTTTGGGGTTGGGGGCTGAGATTCTGAACTTCTAACAAGTCCTCCAGCAATGGTGATGCTACTAGTCTTCAGACAACAGTATGTTCTTTTTCCAGTTTACACAGGTATAATTGACAAATAAAATTGTAAGATATTTAAAGTGATTTGATATATGTGTACATTGTAAAAGAATTCCCACATCTAGTTAACTCAGACCACACTTTTAAAGTAGGAAGGCTACAGACCAGGGAACTGCAAAGTATGGCCTTTGGGGAAAATCTGGTCTCTGTTTTTATAAATAATATTTTGTTAGAACCCAGCCATGCCCAGTCCTACATGTTATCTATGGCTGCTTTCATACTATAAAGGCAAAGCTGAGTAGTTCCAACAGAGACCTGTGTCCTCATAGCTTACAGAAAATGTTTACTGACCTCTGTTATAGATAACACCCAAAATGTACTATCCAACATGGGAAGTAAGAGCAAAGTAGAAGTGTCAAAGTTTTTCACGGTTTTCTGGGATTATATCCTTTTCTTTAGATTCTCCAGTTCTATATACCAATGGACCTCTTTCATTTGTACAGAAACAAGATTATAGGTGTTTCCTTGCCATGTGACTTCCTGCTGCACAAGATAATTGTCACATTTTTTATGAAATAAGAAATGTTGATCAAGGGCACCTGGATGGCTCAGTTGGTTCAGCTCAGGTCATGATCTCAGGGTCCTGGGATTAAGTCCTCCGTCAGGCTCCCTGCTCTGTAGGGAGTCTGGTTCTCCCTCTGCCCCTCCTCCCACTCCCTCTCAATCTCTCTCTCAAATAAATAAAATCTTAAAAAAAAGAAAAGAAAAAAGAAAAGAAAGGAAATGTTGATCAAGAGTCTAAGAAACCAGGGGCACCTGGCTGGCTCAGTCTGTGGATCTTGGGGCTGTAAGTTCAAGCCCCCACGCAGGGTAGAGAGATGACTTAAAAAATAAAATCTTAAAAAAAAAATAAAAGAGATTAAGAAACCAATTCATAAAGAATAAAAAACCCTGACAACATTAACAATTACAGGTCGTCCCGACCTACTGATCACCATAGCCAGTTATCCCGTTACTTACTCTCGTTAAATCCATGCCCAGCTTCAGCTGTGACAAGAGATGCAGGATGACACTACGTTGTTCTTCCACAGCTCCCAGGTCATCCTCCTTGTTGTCACATGTATCCTCTACCTCATCATCTGCATTGATTTCTTCAGGTTCCTTGAAGTCAAACAAAGCAAAAGTCTAGTGTTGTAAGTGCTTATTAATATCTATTAAGAATAAAAGTCTTGGGTCGCCTGAGTGGCTCAGTTGGTTAAGCATCTGCCTTCAGCTCAAGTCATGATCTCGGGGTCCTGGGATTGAGCCCTGCATCAGGCTCTTTGCTCAGCGGGGAGCCGGCTTCTCCTTCTCACTCTCCCTTTGTGCTCTCTCTCTCTCAAATAAATAAATAAAAATCTTAAAAAATAATAAAAGTCTCTTTTCTGTCGCTGTTTCTTTGTGCAAGAAGACTCTTGTATTTTCTTTCTTTTCAATACAGAAATCGAATTAAACAGCAAGCTTTGCAAACAACAGATAGGACAGACTTCATTGCTAATTAAAGGACAGACTTCACAGCCACATTACAAAGAAGTATAAACAGCAGACTTGAAGATGTTTATACTGGGCCTAAATGAATCTGGGAATGAGCAAAAATCTTTCTAAAAATATAACTTCCATCACTTAGCCATGAAACAGATTTCCTTCAATGAGTCCATTATCATTTACATTGAACATACTGTGGTTTTGCCATAAAAATAATATATAAAATACATATATTTTGTAAACATGGGATTTTTCAAAAAGAGTGAAAAACGTCTCATCTGAATCTCAGGCTTTGCAGGATTGGCCACCTGTTTGGGGATACCACCAACACCTATAATTTAAGTTGAAGATGCTTTGGGAATAAAATATTTGCCCCCCCTTTTTAAAGATTTTATTTATTTGAGGGGGGGAGAGAGAACACAAGTGGGGGGAGGAGCAGAGGGAGAGGGACAAGCAGACTCCCACTGAGCAGGGAACCCAATGTGGGGCTCAATCCCAGGACCCTGGGCTCATGACCGGAGTCGAAGGCAAATGCTTAACTGATTAAGTCACCCAGGCACCCCAATATTTGCCCTTTTTAAAAGCTAAAACTAGGGACACCTGGGTGACTCAGTCGGTTAAGCATCTGTCTTCAGCTCAGGTCATGATCCCAGGGTCCTGGGATTGAGCCCTGCCTTGGGCTCCTTGCTCAGCGGGAGCCTGCTTCTGCCTCTGCCTCTTAATCTCCCTGCTTGTGTTTGCTCTCTCTCTTTCTCTGACAAATAAATAAATAAAATCTTAAAAAAATAAAGCTAAAACTATACAAGTAAAAATTTAAAAGTGACTGTACATGTCAAGTCTAACTACTATAATCTATATTTTGATATTCACTCATTCTTGGAGATGTCAGGAAGAAACCGTAGGGCTGAAGAGAATTCTAGGTGCAGATATGGCAACCCTATAGTTGCTCATGCTGTCTTAATGCCACAAAAAGGTTCTCTATGCAGCTCTTTAATCAATCAGTAAGACAACCTCTTGAAAAACTGAAAATGTTTACCTCGTTTCAACAGCATCTTAGTTCCAGACAATTGGTTAAGAGAAATTTATTTCTACTTAAACAATTTCAAATAACAGTTTCAAATTCCAAGATTCTGTAGAATCTTAGGTTCACTTCTCATGTGTATGTGGGGAGGGGGTGGTGTCCCAGCTCTCTCAGTGGTACCTCTTTTTTGTACCTTTGTGCAAGAGAGCTTTGTTATTACAGTAGACTTTAAGTTATGAGGATTTTAAAAAGGAAATGATCTTGATAATGTCTCTGCCTTTGATTTTCTCCTCACACAATTAAATCCTATCAAATAAGAAGCCCATCTGTTCTCTGTAGGTAGGCAAAAACCAATCCTAATCAGGCATAAAATCAAGAATGTAATGTTCTCAAATATTAAAAATTATTAAAAACAAAATATAAAACACAGCAACAGAATTAAAGAAAAATGGGTTTCTGGTCATTCTTTTGTCTTTTTCTCCTTTTTCTTCTTCTCTTTTACCAAGGAAATCTACTATGCTCAAATTCTGATAATTAAATTGACGGTCTAGTTCATTTCTTCATGTTAAGACCACACAGACAGCTATTGATTGTGTATTTCAGAATTACTTCTGTTTTTACAACCTTAAGGAGAGATCCCAAAGGTTTTCTAAATTCCCCTTTTCATAAGACTGTCAGGAAGTATTTCCTATTGCTTACTCTAAATCAGTTGTACAATATAGCCTAGTGAAGTTTAAGTATACTTGTGAATGTTTACTCACTATACAATGGGGGAAAAGTTGATCATCGTCCTCTCTACATAGGATACCAAATATAATAATTACTCATTTGAGAAGTGTTGAGAAAACCCCTATTGGGTCTTGATTAAATAATGTTCTCCAACCCTCTGAAGAGATACCATTATATTTGGAGTCAGAACCGAGGACAAAGATTAGTAATACAAATATAACCTTAACATTACTACATAATGCAAAGTTTACTTTGTACTTTGGAACTTCCCCTAATGAAAATAATATCAAAGAAATAAAACATAATCTGGTAAAAAATATTTAAAAGAGTACAGTTCTTGTTGTTTTTACAAAAACAGTCATATTGTTTATTGGGATAGAAAAAAGAGGAATTCTATTAATTAATTACTGATTCTAAATCTTGGTGTGAATGGAAGAATTTGGAAGCTCTCCTTTCTTTTTGAAATGTCTCTTCTTAGACGTCATCATCCTTTTTGTAAAGAAAAGCTTAAGGTAAAAGCATTACCAAATTCAAATGAATGTGTGCGAGTGTGTAATATCCCTACAAACCCAGAGTGGTTAGCAGACAGTGGCAAGAGCTGTTGAGTTTCTAAGGAATTTATAATATTTGGACACTGCATGGCAAAGGGAAACCCCAATATTCCACCAAACTCATATTAACCCCATCTTTGTCCTTCTGATTTCTGACTTGGGCACAAAGGATCTGTGGGCTTCATTCTAGCCTTACTAGTGTTTAGTTTTTCCATCACCTGGCAGCAAAATCTCCCCTACTAGATGCCCGTCTCCAGCTTGCATTAACACTCATATTTCAAGAAGGCATGTGTGAAATTTTTAGAAAATTCAGGTCCATTCTGATATGCTTGAGTAGAGTCTAGTGTCTTTGTAATTAAAAATAATAACTGTGTGCTTATTTCTTTGTACTTACACTAGGTGATATATCTGGCCTACTCACTATTTCAAAAGATTTGGAGGGTGCCTGGGTGGCTCATTCGGTTAAGCGTCTGCCTTAGGCTCAGGTCATGATCCCAGGAGTCCTGGGATCAAGTCCTGCATCGGACTCCCTGAATCTGCATCTCCCTGACTCTCCCCTCTTTCATGCTTTCTCACTCTCAAATAAATAAATAAAATTAAAAAAAAAGAGAGAGAGAGATTTGGAAATATAACAATGTTCTCCTTCCCATCTCTGTGTCCCACCTTTAACTTTTGCCTCTCTAACCCCCAACATGCTTTGTATTCTCACTGAGAAGAGTGAGGATGTTGGAGTATACGACTTAGAGTTTCTAATTTTCACTTGCAAATTGTGTCTCTTGTCCTGATCTCTCTCCAAAGCTTTGGTTACACTGGGTAGAGAGATTAAAAATACACTTTAGATATTCACCGTGTTCATAAACCATACCAAACCTTTTCTCTCAAAAGGCTCTTTCTTCCTAATTTTCCTACCTTTGTGAATGGTACCACAATTCTACCTAGTCATTTAGGTTCACAAACTTGGGAGTTTTCTTTCATCCAACTCTACAACCGGTCAATCACAAGTCCAACTGATTTTCATTTGAAATGCACATTACCTATTCATTTGTCTTCATTTTCACCTCCATAGCCTTCTGTCGACACTTTAATTTTAGGTCATATCATATACCAATCTTCTTAAACATATCCCGTGCTCATGATTTTATCATCTATTACATTAAGACTAAATTTTCTGTATGATTTTTATGTTCCTTGGAGGCACAGTTTACATTGTATTTTATGAGCAGTGGCTCCAGGGATTATCACTCCCCAGAGAATGCAGCATGAATGGTCATCTGGATTTGTAAAATCCCATCACCCTGTGATCATTTTCCATAAACCAGGTGCTCTGCTATATTCATTTTATGTTCATAACAATCTTATAAGACACTATTATCCCTGCTTTACAGATGAGAAAAACCGAAACTAAGTGGTTAATTATTGGTCCACAAGTCAGTAAATGACAGGACCTGGGTTTAAAACCATCAGGCAAGCTTTCAGCACAATAAGCATATATGCCTTCATATCCCTGCTCCTATTATTCCTCCATCCCGAGATTATCCCACTACTCCTCATCTCTTCAAATCGTGTCTTCTTTCAAAGCCTGATTCCAATTCCACTTTCTCTCCAAAGCATTCCTCATCCACTCTACTCAATACTCCTCTTTCTTTCTCTGAATGCCCATATCCCAACAGCCTAAACCATATCAACTAAGATGGGGAAAAAAAATACTACTTCATGTTATCCTCTCATTGTTTCAGTGTGTATTTAATTGTTGTGACTCCAAGCAGATTAGTAAATCTCTCCAGTGAAAGAACTGCGTCTTCGATTTTTTGTGTCCCCTTGTAATTCCTAACATTGGACTTGTCATACACTAGAGGGCTTAATAAATACTAACTGCTTGACTCTAGAAATGGGCTGGTCAAAAAATTACAGGGGGAAAAAAAAAGCATTTCATACTTTTTTTTCTTCTCTTCTATCCACACTGCTGCCACTGCCAGCCTCATTAAGTCAAGGTCTTGGCCAGTTTTGGAAGTCTCTGTGTCATGTACTACTTCTTTTTTTAAAGATTTATTTATTTATTTGGGGAGGGGAGGGGGAGAGAGAGGGAAACTCAAGTAGACTTCCTGCTGAGCACAGAGCCCAGCAGGGGACTCGATCTCACAACTCTGAGATCATGACCTGAGATGAAATCAAGAGTCAGACGCTCAACCGACTGCCTTCAGCTCAGATCATGATCCCAGCGTCCTGGGATCGAGCCCCGCATCGGGCTCCCTGCTCAGCGGGGAGTCTGCTTCTCCCTCTCCCTTTGCCCCTTCCCCTGCTTGTGTGTGTGCTCTCTCTCAAATAAATAAAATCTTTTAAAAAAGAGAAGTAATTTGCTAATATATTTAAATAAACATATGCTGTGCATTACTCTTGACTCAGTGATTCTACTTGGGACTATAACCTAAAGAAATAATCCAAATTAAGAGGAGAAAAAAAAAACAGTAGACAAGATGACATAGTGATATATAATAACAAAAAAATAACAAAGAGCCTAGATATTTAATAACTTACTTCAACGTTTAAAATTTTAATTATATAGGCCAGACAAAATGCTTATGAGAAGTATCAAGTCAAAAGAGCTTAGAATAAAATGATCTATATAATTATGATGACCATAAAAAAAAACACAAAAGGCAAAACATCAATATGATTTTTTACAGTGGTGGAACTATGACTAGAATAAGACATTCTTTAGCTTCTGAGAAATGTGGAATAAATAATACTTATAAAAATATTATAAAACCCTGAGACTATGCTATTTTGAGTAACAAAAAAACTGGTTTGGTAAAGTTCTTAAAACAAAAAAGACTTAATAGTAATTTTTTTTTTTAATTTATTTGACAGAGATAGAGACACAGCGAGAGAGGGAACACAAGCAGGGGGAGTAGCAGAGGGAGAAGCAGGCTCCCCGCCGAGCAGGGAGCCTGATACAGGGCTCAATCCCAGGACCCTGAGATCATGACCTGAGCCAAAGGCAGACACTTAACAACTGAGCCACCCAGGTGCCCCTTAATAGTAAATTTTTAAACTTGTAAATTTAATAGTAAGCATCTAATAATGTTAAATTAAGATTTAAGAAGAAATGTAAGAGAGAAATAGTGTGCAAATAATCTTATATTAGATAAGTTATTCTCTAGAAAAATAAATATATGTAAATTACAACTTTTAAATACAGTTTTATCCAGCAAAAGTATGCCCAAACTAAAAAAGGCACATAACTTAACCTGCAAAACACAATGTGTACAAGTGTTATACAGCAGACCTCTTCTAAAGCCAGTGCTGTTTAAATTAGAAAAACAATGTCTAGAGTCTCAAGAATGTTGTGCTGGTGTTAGCCTGACTTGCATGCCCTGACAATGAAAAGAGAACTGAACCTTTTCAGTGATTCCTAGTTTTTACATCAAAACTGTATTTTCACATTACCTTACCCTTGCTAATGGTCCAGATTCTTCAACACACTGCTCTTCTGGGACCGCCACTGGTTTACTTTGCTCAGTTGCAAAAGGCTGGTCAGCTCCATTTTTATAGTGGTTTGATAAAGGTATCTTTGGTTCTAACCACTCGATTGTCGTTCCTGATGAAGTAAGAGAAAACTTTCGCTGAAACTTGCTCATAATCTGGAAAGTTCAGCAGATGTGGATTTTATTAAACAATTTTGCTTTGCACCCATACGACTAAAAGCAATTCAACCTGCTAAGAGACCTTGCAAAAGGGCCACTTGTATCTCATTAGCATGAGCACCATGATTGGGTATTTTACAAGAGAGCGACTTGCAACTTGAAATCAGATACCTTTTAAAAGAATCAACCCTGAATGGAACTGAACTTCTGGGAAATCTGTAAACCATAATGTATTCCTGCCCTGAATAGCTGATTTGCTACCCATTCTGTGAAAAACACTGTCCGTCTCCGTAATGATCAAAAAATACGCAATTAGACTTCAGGGAGTCACCATTACAGGAGGAGCCTGGGATTTTGAAACAGTAAAATTTTCTTCATTTTGGGACTGAACCTTATTCTCAGTAGCAATTTTCTAACCATGCAAGATAACCACCTTGATCTAATGTAAGTATTGCAAATACATGTCCATTCCTCTTGTTTTTTAATCCTATAAAGAAGGTCCATATACTTTCAAACTGAAAGGCTTTTCTAATGAATAAATAATAGCTGACCTAGTGAAAGAAGTGGTCACATTTAGAGACCTGTCATCTTCTCAGTTAATGACTCAAATGTCTCTTATTACCCTCAACTAGTTTAACAAAGTGGATTCTATGCCTAATCAATAATGGAAAATGTTCCATTTGATGTCAGAGGCTGATCTAGGTTTCACAGAAGCTTGATTATTGCAGTGCTACAATAAGGGATGCTCAGACTACTACAGCAGAAATTAACAGAGTAGGGAATTTACTCAGTCTATAATGAAATGCCAGACTTCAGTACAGGAATAAATTACTAAGTACCTATCATGCTACCAGAGCATCCTGCCTTGCCACTCAGGCCAGTCTCTCAGGGAATGCCCTGGGTAAGTTCAAGAGGTCAGTTTCAAAATTCTAAAGAAATGAAAACGTTTGTTTATTCTTAAGAAATCTGTTTTAAGAGATTGTTCAACTGATTGGAAACCACAATACTCTTTATCAAACCAATCATCTGGTCTTAGGACCCCTCTAAATCAATGATCCTTGGATAACATACATTAAGACCTTATGGGACTGAACACTAATTTAAACTTAGATTTCATTTCTTGTGTCATCTCAAAATTTGAGGGCAAAGGTAATTCAGTTTTTCTTTCCACAGTTATATTTTTACTTTCAAGTGACCAAAGAATAAATTTCTACAGATTTAATTTGGAAAATGACCGTTTATGTAAGAAATACCAATACTGGTTAATCAATTCCACCAAATATCCATGCTCCAAAACATAGTAATGAGGGAGAACAACTTTTACTTTAAACACTTCTATAAAGTTTACAGTCTGTTTCATTTTTTAACTAAAAAATGCAAATTTATATTGTACATGCTTCACTAATCATGAAGCAATCATTTAAAAATACAATTGTGTATGAAACTACACAAATGAAATTTCTAAGAATTAAAAAAATTACATACAATTATTTAATCAAGTATTAGGCATCTAGTATCTAGCTCTGTGCTAGCTGATATGTTTTGTAAAAATTAAGTAGCATCAACTGAAAACAGACTAACATTTCCCTGACAACATTATTATTATAAACACTAGAATTAAACCAAATTTCACAGCTCAAGGTAACTCATCCAATGTTCAACATAGGAGAACAGTTAAGTCAACCAAAGAACTATCCCTTCAAAGGAATATAATGCAGCCAAAAAAAATTGTGTTTACCAAAAGCTTAACATAAATTAGAAAATATTCTTTTTTTTTTTTTAAGATTTTACTTATTTATTTGACACAGAGAGAGACACAGCGAGAAAGGGAACACAAGCAGGGGGAGTCAGAGAGGGAGAAGCAGGCTCCCCGCTGAGCAGGGAGCCCGATTTGGGACTCAATTCCAGGACCCTGGGATCGTGACCTGAGCCGAAGGCCGACACTTAACTGACTGAGCACCCAGGCGTCCCTGGAAAATATTCTTGATATTACGTTAAAAGTGTAAGATAAAAACATATATTTTCTAATAACAATGGAGTAAAACAAACAAAAACTTAGAAGGAAAGAAAACCTGGTGGGGTATGTACTAATATTAACAGTGGCAATATCTGGTTGGTAGAATAAGCATGATTTCTTTTTTTAATTATATAATAGTTCCTAAATTTTTTATGAATGTGTGTTGCTTTAGTTTTTTAAGTAGGCTCCATGCCCAGCGTGGAGCCCAACGTGGGGCTTGAACTCACGACCCTGAGATCAAGACCTGAGCTGAGATCAAGAGTCAGACACTTAACTGATGGAGCCACCCAGGCATCCCAGGTGTGTGTGTTGCTTTATAATTTATATACTACTTACATTTCCTCCAAGGCCCCAGTCCGTATTCACAACTCACAACTTATGCCAGTCCATTTCTTCTGAATACCCTCTTCTCTCTTTCCACCCTTAAGCTAATTGTTTTTTGTAGCTTTTCTAGGCCTTTCCCAAACCTTTTTCTGTCAGAAGTATCGGTATCGGTCCATTCATATATTCTCCCAAAGTATTTTGTTCCCACTGTAAACAACACTTTCCATATTACAGTTAAGTATTTACATGTTCATTCCCAAGTGGACTATGAGTTCCTTATGGGAAACATACATAGCTTACTACTCTATACCTACAATTGACATTAATAGCTTGAAATATTGATTTAGGTAGGCATACACGAGGATGGAAGCCATATTTTATCAACTCAGATCTGACTATGGTAGGGGTACCTGGGTGGCTCAGTCCATTGAGCGACCAACTCTTGGTTTTGGCTCAGGTCAGAATCTCGGGGTTGTGAGATCAAGCCCCACATCAGGCTCCTCACTCAACACGGAGTCTGCTTGGGATTTTTGCCCTCCCTCGCCCTCCCCTTCTGCTCCTCCCCCCTCCCTCACCGCTTGCACACGTGCACACACTCTCTCTAAAATCAATCAATAAAAATCTTAAAAAAAAAAAAAGATCTATGATAAACTTTCTCCTAGGCAGAGACTCAGTAGCTTTCTAAAATTTCTTTCACAAGGGGAGTTAGTTGGGTAAGAGTACAAGGAATTGTTGTGAACTCTTAAGTTACTACTATTAAAACAATGGGGATGGGAGAATCGAGGAGATGTTAAAGGGTACAAACCTACAAGTAGAAGAGAAATAAATTCTGGAAATCTAATGCACACCATAGTGATTATAGTCAACAATACTGTAATATATACTTTGGAGTAAGAGACTAGATCCTAAATATTCTCACCACAAAAAAGTGATAATTATGTGATATGATTGAGGCATTAGCTTTGGTAATCATGTTGCAACATGTATACGCATTAAATCAACATGCTGTGCACCTTAAACTTACACAATATTATATGTCAATATATCTCAATAAAGAAAAACATGATGAGTTTATTCATCTCATTAAGTAGAAAAACTCATTTTTTGTCCTCACGTGTAGTAACATTATTTTCCCCAGATTAATTTCAACAAATAAGTGCTCTCAAATACTAAATGTACACCTTATTTTTCAAACTGAAAAGTGACTGACAGACTTTAATATCTCTAACTCAGGGGCACCTGTGTGGCTCAGTCATTAAGCATCTGCCTTCGGCTCAGGTCAGGATCCCAGGGTCCCAGGATTGAGCCCTGAATTGGGCTCCCTGCTCAGCAGGAAGCCTGTTTCTCCCTCTCCCACTCCCCCTGCTTGTTCCCTCTCTCACTGTCTCTCTGTCAAATAAACAAAATCTTTTAAAAAAAGTAGTATCTCTGGCTCAATATGGATATAATGAACAGTGGACTAAACCAAAAGTTAAGAAATGGTCCCGATATTTCTATTAAGGTCGATTGGATGAATAACGACGCCACCAATTTTAGCAGAAACATACAAGATGTGGGTTTTGAGTTCAGTTTTTGACATGTGTAGTTGAGGTCTCCAAAGGGATATTCAATTATATTAAACATTAGGCCTAAAATAATTTTAGATTTGAAAAAGGGCACAATAGACTTTCTTTAACATTAATGTGATAAAAAACAAGAGGCTCGGGTGCCTGGGTGGCTCAGTCGTTAAGCGTCTGCCTTCGGCTCAGGTCATGATTCCAGGGTCCTGGGATCGAGTCCCATATCGGGCTCCCTGCTCAGTAGGAAGCCTGCTTCTCCCTCCTCCACTCCCCCTGCTTGTGTTCCTGCTCTCGTGCTCTATCAAATAAATAAAAATAAATAAAATCTTTAAAAAAAAAATAAATAAAAAACAAGAGGCTCTTTTTTTTTTTTTTTTAATTTATTTGACAGAGAGAGACACAGCGAGAGAGGGAACACAAGTAGGGGGAGTGGGAGAGGGAGAAGCAGGCTTCCCGCCGAGCAGGGAGCCCGATGCGGGCTCGATCCTAGGACCCTGGGATCATGACCTGAGCCGAAGGCAGACTCTTAACGACTGAGCCACCCAGGTGCCCCGAGGCTCATTGTTTTTCTTTTTCTTTTTTATTAAGAATTTTTAGGAGTTAGAATTACGACAAACGCAATCTTTCCATGTTTTGGCCCTTAATGTTAAATCCTTTTAATCTACAACTTACCTGAAGACAATGAGCCCTTCTGATGTGATGCATGCTGCAACTGGAGAATATGAAAGCAGTCGTTTAAGCAGTTCATAGTTGCCATGGAAGTAGCTTTGAGCATTAAGAGATCCTGGTCCAAGGAACTAAGATGGCCAGAAGCAGGAAGGCATTCAATTCGTCTCATTAAGTCTCTCTGTTGTCCTTCAGCATGAGACATCATCTAAGGAAAACAACAGTTCTGTGTGTCCCACCCATGATTTCTGTGTATCACGTATACATACAGTTCCCATTTTAATTACCATATTCAGCTTCTGAGCCATTTTTAGGATATATTAGGCTTAGAAATCTATTTTATGTTTGGCTAGTCTCAATGAGCACTATTTAACAGTGCTTATCAATTGTGCAAAAAATGGTGATCTTTGGCAGCTGCACTTTTTCTTTAAAAGCAACAAAGCTCAAACTTTGACAAACCTTTTATTAACAGTATACATTTGTACAAGTCATTAAAAGAACATTCTGATCATCTTCAATAGCAGCATTAAATATTTCATTACAAAGTAAAATTAGTTCCCACTCTGGGCTCTTAACCTCTTTCTTCTCAGCACCTCTGGTCAGGCTCAATTTGAACATACAATAAGAACATGATGGTTCTCCTGCTTCCTTTTCTCAAATCTAACTTTCTGGTCCCATTAGCCTGACTGTGCAGCAAATACTGGATATAAGCTTTTCAGGTTAAAAGAGTCTAATACACTCTGCTTCGATCAAGAGCTCTGTCCACTTTTCCTAAGAGAGCCAATAGAGTAACAATGCTTGATAAGCAACCAAATATTTTTAAATGAAAACTGAATTTATTATGCTTAATTACTCAATTGTGAGCAGAAGGTTCTCAGATTGCCTATCTTTTAGACATTATTTTAATTCATCTATAATGGACAGACTCTTTTAGCTTTCAGAGGCACCATTCCAGGTGATTTTTAACACAGTTCATCAGTGCGCCAGGGAAAGAGAGATGCAAATATCCTACCAAACAAATCAAGTGTGTAGTACACGAAATAGCCCTTGAAAACATGTGTCATAGCAATGGATCAAACATTCACCTTTATCAGAAAAAAAGGTTTCTAAATGAAAAGTGTGGATATGAAGATATCTACATGTACACATTTATACATGAATATATGTGTGTGCTTTGTGTGTGTAAAATATTTTGTATACAAATGTTAGGACTAACTTCCAGTAATCCAAACTTACGAATAGTACAACCACTCTTGTCAACAGTTCGGCAATGTTTACTAGAGTTAAATAATTTATAATCTATGACCGAACAATTATACTCTTAGATATGTAAACAACAGGTATGTATATATGTGTTCAGCTGCACCCGCCAACCTCTAGAGAGGAGAGGGGCTAGTGGATGAATTAATCACCAACAGGCAGTGATTCAGTCAATCATGCCTACCTAATGAAGCCTCCATAAAAACCCCAAAAGGGGAGGTTCAGAGAGCTTCTGGTTGGTGAACACCTGGAGGTACTGGGAGGGTGGTACAACCAGAAAGGGCATGGAAGCTCCAGGCCTTTCCCCCCTTATATCTGTCTGTTCCTGAATTCTTTATAGCAGGTCAGAGGCACAGGTGACAACATCAACCTGCAACTGGTGTCTAAAGTGGGGGCAGTCTTGTGGGATCTGACACTATCTCAGATAGTGCTGAAACTGAATTAAACTGTAGGACAGGCAGCTGGTGTCCACAGAGAACTAGAGAATTGCTGGGCGGTGGAAAAACTCCAACAGTTGGTGACCAGAGTACAGAACTGCAGAGTGTTATAGCAGAGCAGAGGAGAAAACATAGGAGAGTTAGACTTGGAGATATGTGGTAGACATCCTAAAAATTAAAAAAAACAAGCCATCACCTCAAAACAAGCCAAAAGTATTTACTGCCAATTATAAAATCTGAGCTTTAAAATGAAAAGAATTTTGGGAAACCTTTATCTGTCACCATAATCTTGACAACTTCCCAATACTGAAAGGCTTTTCTAATGAGACTGGTGAGGATGTTAATGAATGGGAATTTTTGATGTTGAATGTTAAATAGATCACCATCTCCAAGACTTGCCTAACTCAGTGAGATGATATTTTGACTAATGCATGGTGTTACAAAATCATGCATAGATTAAAGATACATTCCAAGTGCAAGACAGACCAACAGATTTTCATGTAACAGAACATCAAAAGTTCATGAATATATATTAGATTCCACAGTGCATCTAACATTTACGAAACTGCTACTAAGTTTTCGTGCAGTACCAAAGAATAACCACAATTATCTGAAAAGGCAATTAAAATATTTCTCTACTTTCCAATCACATACCTGTGTGAGGCCACTCACTACATAGACATCTATTAGCTGTACCAAATTTAACCTGGGAATATTTAGAACCTAACAACTACATCCTTTATTAACTAGAATTATTTAGTACTCAATTTGAAAAGAACAGGGAAATGGTGAGATAAGGCAACATCAAGGATTTAACTATTCTATTTTTGCATATGTTTGAAATTGTCTATACAAAATTTTTTTTTTAAATCAATTGTTTGGCCATATTGTCTTCCTAATAGGCTTAAAAACCCTTTTGATCATAAATGTTACATCAAAGGAGTCTGTACTTTTACTTGAGAAATGAAAGATATAGACTGAAAAATGAGAGTGTACCTAGGAAACTTAGGATACCACAGAAAAGAAACTTAGGACATCACATATAACCAGGGAATCTTTATGACTTAAAATTTATCTCCGCATAGTAGACAGAAAACATCTGAGGGTCCCAGAAGACACAAACAGGATTTCAACTTTTTTTTGTGACAAAACCAAGCAAGTTAGGTCATTTTAGCATTTTAATTTGACTTCAATTCATACTTACTTCTCTGACTTCCACAAGATGGTCTGGAGGTAAGTGAGCTCTTTTGTTCACTGATTGTAGTTTGGAATGTCCAACATTAAAAAAAGAAATGGCATTTTGACTTGGTCTCCTCTGGGATATAGGAGAATTACCACTAGATGCAAGTGAGAAGCTTCGTGATTTCAGAGGGGGATTATTCTATTAGACAAACAAGGAAAATCATTCGTTTTCCAAAATTTTGGTTAACCCTCACCTATTATAAGTACACTTTAGGCCTACACATGAACAGTTTTAAAAATTAAATTAACCTCAGAATTGACTACAAGAACATTTCTGAAAAATGCTAAAATTTAAGGCACTGAAAGTTTAAACATATGACACATCCAACAGTAAAGTTGTAATTTATTTAGAAAATTGATTATAGGTTTGTGCTGTCGAGAATATTTTTTCACATTTTACAAATATTAGAACAAGAAATTTCTAATTTCAGATTTTTAAATACCATGACTAAAGCAAAAATATTCAATATAGTACATTTTCTAATCTAACTAGCAAGTATCTTTGGAACAAACTAGTACTTTCCAGGCGCTCCACAAGCTAGTACTCTCTGATCACTGCCAATGACTACAATCTTACAGTAGGAGTAAAGCTTTTGTGATGAACTTCCTGAAGATTGGGCAGTAGGCCTAAATCACAAACTTTTAAAATTTACTTATGGGGAAAAAACACTAGGCAAAAAAATTTGGGGGGCACCTGAATGGCTCAGTCATTAAGCGTCTGCCTTCGGCTCAAGTCATGATCCCAGGGTACTGGGATTGAGCCCCACATTGGGCTCCCTGCTCCATGGGAAAGCCTGCTTCTCCCTCTCCCGCTCCCCCCTGCTTGTGTTCCCTCTCTTGCTGTGTCTCTCTCTGTCAAATAAATAAAATCTTAAAAAACTTTTTTTTTTATTTTAAAGTCAATCTATCACCTATGCATACCTAGGTATGGAATCCTTCAACTATGCTGCCCAGATACTAGTTTTCAGGTATCTCTAACCTCAGATTTCAAGTAATGAGACCAACCTGTCCACCTTAAAAAGTAAAACAAAATTCCAAAGAAGATATACAAACGATCAATAAACATATGGAAAGATCCTCAACATTATTAGTCATTAGGGAAATGAAATCAAAACCACCTCACATATACTAGGATGCCTATTACAATTAAAAAGGGGGGCCAGTAACAGGTGCTGGTGAGGATATGGGAAAACTGAAACCCTCAGACACTGCTGGTGGGAATGTGAAATGGTTCAGTCACTCTGGAAGACAGTCTGGCAGCTCCTCAAAAAGTTAAACAGAGAACCACCATATGATTCAGTAATTCCACTCCTAAATATACACCTCAGTGAAATCATGTGTTCACACAAAAACCTAGACACAAATGTTATTCATTAATAGCCACAGAATGGAAACAACCCAAATGTCCACCAACTGATGAATGGATAAACTACATGTGGTGTATCCATATGATGGAATATTATTTGGCTATAAAAAGGAATAAAATGATACATAAAATGACATGAATGAACCTTGAAAGTATTATGCATACATAAAAGACTAAAGGACAAGTAAAACTGGACATTTAATTAAATTTGCTTCTAACTCTGAAAAAAATTACGTGAAGTATAAAAAGCCAGACACAAAAAAACCACGTATTCTATGATTCTATTTATATAAAAGGCCCAGAATGGACAAACCCATAGGAACAGAAAATGGATTAGCGTTTGCCAGGAGTTTGGAAAGCGGAGAATGTGAGTGCCTGCTCACAGATACGGGTGTTTTGGAGGGTGATGAAAATGTTCTGGGGCACCTGGGTGGCTCAGTCGTTAAGTGTCTGCCTTCAGCTCAGGTCATGATCCCAGGGTCCTGGGATCGAGTCCCACATCGGGCTCCCCGCTCAGCGGGAAGCCTGCTTCTCCCTCTCCCACTCCCCCTGCTTGTGTTCCTGCTCTCACTGTGTCTCTCTCTGTCAAATAAATAAAAATAAATTTAAAAAAAAAAAAGAAAAAGAAAATGTTCTGGAACTAGAGAGGTGCGATGGTTGCACAATCTTGTGTATATATTAAAACCAACAGAATTGTACACTTTAAAAAGGTAAATTTTATGGTATATCAATAGTCTTGGAATTTAAGAATACAAGAAAATAAAATAAAACATTCTTTTCCCCCTTTTTATGCACTAATATCATATATGAGTCCACATACCTTTCCAATAGCTTCAGTGTGATGCTGTGTACATATCTGAAGTCGGCTAACCCAGTGTTGTCGTTCTTTAGCATCTGTGGCTGATAAAAAGAACATAAAAGTTATTCACTTTTACATTTATTTTTGGAATACAATTAACTGTCTACAGCATGAAGAACAGATGCATAATTGAAAACCAGGAATTGGTCCTACTCTCCCTAGAATAAATGTCCCCTACTGGAGGGAGGGAGAAAAAAAGGCCCAAGCATCAACTTTGTTAGGTAACACCGTAGCTGGATATGGATATTTCAGAAGGAGGGTAAATTACATGCAGCTAGGCAGGAATATAAGACTTGACGTGTCTTAAGTTTCTCATAAAAATATGCTCTTACTTAAAGAAATAACCTTTATTAAGCATTTAATGTGCACTCAGTATTTTCAGATCTCTTGCAGCATGCTCAGTTAGGATTACCATTATATTTTATGTGCATCAATTAAACAAAAAACACGAATTAAATTTACCTAAACAAAAGTTACACTTTTTAAATGAATATGAACATTTTAATAAATCCCAGCCATGTGTATTAGTTACTAGAAACTTCAAAGAGGGCATGTAAACCAAGTCAAGAAAAGGGGTAAAATACAAGGCAGACATAAAAAATACCATTTAAAGAAGCTATGTTTTTAGGTTTTTGAGTAATCAGGGTTTGTCTACACAAATATTTTACAGGGGCCAATTGTAAACACACTTGTTCATTGTGCCCCTTGAGAAAGCTTACTTATTAAAACAGATTTCATAAATTCATAAGCAATTCTAAGATTTTGGAATATCCTATCTACATATCGATGACAGTAGTTTCTGTTTCCAAAACTCAAATGAAGGCAGGGAAGTACATCAACTTCTCAAGGGAAGAAGAAAATCACACTATTAATTCTTGTATCTCGATCATACCTCTGAGTTTATACTGTTCCCCACTGGCAGCATTTACAGTGAAGGTGTGAGAGTCCTCATCACTAGGTGATATTACAGCTCCTGCAAGCTGCAAAGTACCTCTGGGCTTTTGATTTCTAGACTGCTCATTCACAAAGTACTCCAATAACCCAGCTTCATTGTTTAAAACAAAAAACCTGTAATGATTCAAAAAAGAAAAGTCATAATTTTTAAACATTCTCCCTAGTCAAACTAAATCTCAATCACATTTTGGAGTTCTTGCTATTAAAAAAATAAAATTCAAGGGATGCATGGGTGGTTCAGTCGGTTAAGCATCTGACTCTTGATTTTGGCTCAGGTCAGGATCTCAGAGTGGGGAGATCCTTTCTTTCTCCCTCTCCCTCTGCCACTACCCACCCCCATCTCCCCCTCTAATAAACAAACAAACAAACAAAATTCAAAAGCTGTTCAAGTACTTGGAAACACGAGGCCGAATTTCCCAGCAATAAAGCTTATTGAGAAATTGAATGAATTTAATAAACGACATAAAACCTTGAGCTGAAGTAAAGGTACTTAATAGGGAAGAGGCATACCAGATAATGCAAAAAGGAAGCAAAGATAGAGTATCCTTTCAGAGGAAAATTTCTTTCTCTCAAGAATTCATTAACAAGGAAGGTAAATAGCCCAAAGACAAATGGTAGTGAGACTTTTTATTTAAAATTCACTGGAAACAAATCAAAACATGAACTCTGAGGATAACTAAATGCTGGGTAAGGAATGAGTCTGATTTAAGATTTAATCAGTGAAATATACAATGAGAATAATGTCAGGGTAGAAGGATTTTGTGAATGTATCATTAAATAGGTCACAACTAACGATTACTTATCCTGTTTAAAAATGTAAAAGCTGCAACTGGAGATGGAGAAACATAAGGAACTAGAAACTAAATGATGAAATACTGATACACTTTGGAAAAGAATTTGATGTTATGATTTGGTTCCAGATTAATTACTTTATTGAGATTTCAATTTAAGTAATTCAATAGTTCTTTTTAAAAAAATCTAAAAAGTTTCAATTTAAAAAAAATAATGTTCGGGTTCGGAGCAGTTTGGCATTTTATGTTTCTGGGTTCTAGAACATTAGACCGTAAGATGGAGTTCAAGGTCCTAGAAGATACTGTCTTAAGCAACAGGCAACCATATCATATCAAACTGGGAGAAAATGGAAATCAGCTTTCTCTTCAAGGAAAGAAAAACTGCTGAGAAGCAAGCAAAATTTGAAAGTGGTTGCCTGAAAAGGGAGATGGGAAAGCAAAGAACTATTGTTTTTCTTGTTCATCTTTTAACATGCTTTTAGCATGATTTTTAAAATTACGTTCCCATATTTTATTTTAAAAATTAGCATTTTCTTTCATTTCATTAATTACTAGAAGAGTCATACACTTTTTCATGTGTTTACTGACCACCCATAGTTCTATTTAGTGAACTGCTCATCACATTTTGCCCATTTTTAATAGGGTTTTTTTTTTTTTAAGATTTTATTTATTTGACATAGAGAGACACAGCGAGAGGGGGAACACAAGCAGAGGGAATGGGAGAGGGAGAAGCAGGCTTCCCGTGGAGCAGAAAGCCTGATGCGGGGCTTGATCCCAAGACCCTGGGATCATGACCTAAGCCGAAGGCAGAGACACTTAACGCCTGAGCCACCCAGACGCCCTTAATAGGGTTATCTTTATTTTCCAAAATATCTGAAGAGATTCTTTGAATTACCACAAGATAGTCACTGACGTCATCTTCAATTTCTTAAAACAGAAGCATAAAACACAAAATGCACATATGAATCTGCTATGGTCTGAATGTGTGCCCCACAAATTCTTTATGTTGAAATCCTAACTCCTAAGGTAACAGTATTAAGAAACAGGGCCTTTGGGAGGTGTTTAGGTCATGAGGGCGGAACCCTCAGGAATGAGATTACTGCCCTTGTAAGAGAGACCCAAGAGCTCTTCCTTGACCTTTTTTCTGCCATGTTCTCACACAACAAGAAGTCTATGATAGGAAGAGGGCCCTTACCTAACAATGCGGGCACCATGATCTTGAACTTACAACCTCCACAACTGTGAGAAATGTTTATTAGCTACCCAGTCTGTAGTATTTTGTTATAGCAGCCCTAATGGACTAAGCAATGAATCTACTACAAAAAATTCATCAAATAAACAGAGAAATAAACAGAAGGGGTGGGTTAGTAAGAAAGCAATCTCATCAAGATACTAAAAACCACTGAATACACTTTAAGTGGGCAAATTGTATGGATTGTGCGTTTTATTTCAATAAAGCTGTTAAGAAAAAGAACAACAAAAATGGAAGGAAGGAAGGAAAGAAATCTCTTTCCACCACTCTAAATGTAAGTACAATTCATCTCAAACAGACAAAGAAAATTTAGACAAACAATATGTTTGAAAATCTCAAGTTTGCTGTGAACACATATTTCTTATCCCAAAAGTATTACCACAAATTTATTTATTTATTTCTTAAAGATTTTATTTATTTTGAGAGGGAGAGAATGAGAGATAGAGAGCACGAGAGGGAAGAGGGTCAGAGGGAGAAGCAGACTCCCTGCTGAGCAGGGAGCCCGATGTGGGACTCCATCCCGGGACTCCAGGATCATGACCTGAGCCGAAGGCAGTCACTTAACCAACTGAGCCACCCAGGCGCCCCACCACAAATTCTTAATACAGGAGGCACTCACCTAAATATACAGAAAATAATGGTGAGGAGGGATTGGTGGAGTCATAGAAATAACCAATAACTGAACAGCATGGTGACTATAGTTAATAACACTGTACTGCACATTTGAAAGTTGCTAAGAGTAGATCTTGAAAGTTCTCCTGGGTGGCTCAGTTGGTTAAGGGACTGCCTTCGGCTCAGGTCATGATCCTGGAGTCCCGGGATCGAGTCCCACATCGGGCTCCCTGCTCAGCGGGGAGTCTGCTTCTCCCTCTGACCCTCTTCCCTCTCGTGCTCTCTGTCTCTCACTCTCTCTCTCTCAAATAAATAAATAAAATCTTTAAAAAAAAAAAAAAAGAAAGTTCTCATCACAAAAAAAATTTTTTTTAATTATGTATGATGAGAGATGTTAGCTAGACTTATTGTGGTGATCATTTCATAATATATAGAGATATCAAATCTGTTGTATGTTGTACACCTGAAACTAATATGTTACATGTCAGTTATACCTCACTAAAAAAATGAGCCAATAACTGATCATCTTTTTAATACCAAGATGATACTATGGGTCCAATGCAATAAGAGAGCACTTTGGGTTATCTTTCATTATATGTGGATTAATCCAAATGTTCTTCTTTTATCCCTTTTATGAAGAGAAATTTTACAAGATGTATAGTTTGGAGATAGAAAGGCAATCCACATAGTGAGGAAATTTAACAAAGCCATTTTGCCCAGAAGGGTAGCAGACTCTTGGTGGAAGCATTCTGAACAAGTTGGCCTAGCCAATAAATGAAGAAAATGTAGGAACAAAGGTTAAATGTAACAGGGAAACAAGATTCATCATGAACCTTCACATGCAGAAAATTCAGCTAAGTTGTTAAAAGAAAATGCTGTTACAATTGGCAAATAACTGCTTATTTTTTGCAATTTCAAAATAACACACTGTCAATTTGGGAAAATGACTAATCTTTGAAATAACCCACAACTTAAAGTTAAATATCATCAAAATGCAACTTTAATCTAAAAATATTTTGACTTGGGGAGCCTGGGTGGCTCAGTTGGTTAAGCGACTGCCTTTGGCTAAGGTCATGATCCCGGAGTCCTGGGATCAAGTTCCACATCGGGCTCCGGGATCAGCGGGGAGCCTGCTTCCTCCCTCTGACCCTCTCCCCTCTCATGCTGTTTCTCTCTCGCGCTCGCTCTCTAATAAATAAATAAATAAAATCTTTAAAGAAATAAAAATATTTTGACTTGGAAGTCTATCTTACCATGACAAAAATAAACTTGAGAAGATTTTTGGGAGGAAAGGCAACCATGTGCCATATGCTGGCCATCCCAGGATTTTAATGTTCTGTGTCTACAGACTTCTAAGCCAGATGGGAAGCAATCTCACCTTCAGGAATTAGAAGTTAAAGTGGCAGGAAGTGGGTTCAGGAGACGGTGTTGCTGCTCTGTACTTTGCTAGCCTACCACATTCCAGAGCAAGCAGTTATTTAATCAGCATGCCCATGGTGGATTTCTCCAAGCTGCTACAAGTCAACCTTAGTCAAAACAGAAATGGATTGGAGGGAAATGGTCTTGAATATCTGCCATAGGTGCAGTGCTCTTATTACTTAAGCTACACCTGCAGCATATGGACAAGAGTGGCTAGGCATGCCAAAGAAACTAAGCAACCAAGCCGAGGGTCCTTGAACATGGTCTTACCCTTTCTGTTCACCTTTGATCATTCAATCTACATGTTTCATGCTGAGGACCCAGTATATCTCTGCTGTACCACAGGACCTCCAGCCCAGCTGACATAAAATAAAAATGGAAGATGGAAGTTTTTTTTTTAAGTGGGGCTACAGTTTGGGCGCCTGGGTGGCTTAGTCAGTTAAGCGTCTGACTCTTGGTTTCAGCTCCGGTCATATTCTCAGGGGTGTGGGATCCAGTCCCATGTCGGACTCTGCGCTCCCCAAAGTCTTCTTGAGATTCTCTCCCTCTCCCTCTGCCCCTCCCCCAGCTCATGCGCATGTGCTCTCTTTCTCTCTCAAATAAATAAAATCTTTAACAAAATAATAATAAAGTGGGTGTACAGCAAACTGACAAGGTGAGAACTCTCTCTGATGGGGTAAGTTGGTAAAAGTTTCTGTGTTCTCTCAGAGCAAACAGGGAGGAGTTTACAAGTACTTTCTAGTGCTGCTAAAAACTGGTCTCTTATACAACTGGAGGGATTATGTCAGGAGAGGCAGTGCCCCTCCCTATCCTAGACTGTTTGCTTGGATCCGCTAACTCCAGACAACCAGTAGCCAATGGATCTTTTTGGTGGGCTCCCTCATGCAATGATAAACACCTGCCACTTCTTCCTATGGTCTCAAGTTGCCACTCACCTGAAATGCCATCTTGAAATTATACTAAATTTTATTTATTTATTTTAAAAAGATTTTATTTATTTGACAGAGAGAGACACAGTGAGAGAGGGAACACAAGCAGGG